TCTAACAATAAGAAAATATCCTACATTGAAATAAGAAGAAAGAATGGATAAGTCCTCCAGCTGCGGATCCTCAACCTTGAGACTTGAACTTCTAATAACCTGAAAAATAAATCGCAGGTTAAACCCTACGAGCAAGTTCTCTCTACCAGACCTCTGAAAACCAATAAATAGATCATCTCTGATCAAAACCAAAACTAATAAACTATCACAACTATTACCAAGTTCATCAATTCCAAAACCATTATCAATGATTAATTAATAATCAAACCCAGCCCAATCCACAATTTCTTTTAAAGAAACTCCTTTAACCCTAACTCCATCCTAGACAGCAATTTAATAACTTAAACCATAAAATATAATTAAAAGAACATTTTATTTAATTCCCAAAACCAATAATGATTTTAAGTATTTAAATCACACAGTCAATATCTAGACCTTGACAAATCATCTATGTCACTACCAGTATTATTTTATTAATATGCATAAAATAATACACTAACCTGTAAGTACTAGACTATTCTACTTTAAGAATATCTAATCCTAATCCAACTTACACAAACAGTAACCATAGATGATATATTTTAATCATCTAGCACACAACAATATAATTACACTTTGGCAAATCAGCCATGCCATTTTAAATATATTTATTTATATATCGGCAACTCAACCATGCCTCCTTAAGTATGTTTATTTATACATTGGCAATTCAACCATGCCTCCACAAGTATATTTATTTATACTTTTAATTAGCAACTCATCCATGTTTCCCATGTATGTGTTATATTCATACAAATATTTAGGTAATATATTTAACCCTTTAGTAATTCATCCATACCTACACCTTAACCATGAACCATTTTTAAATTTAACCATATGCTAAATCATACATAACCATCTCATGCATATTGTACGCATATCATTAATTTAATAATTAACATATCAAGACATACCAAATAAGAATGATAATATTAATTATCTTAAATGATATATATCTACATACCCATATATCATATAATATATATATATATATATATATATATATATATATATATACTTCCCTCCAAACCAATCACATATTAGTTAATTCATATATATACATATATAACATAAAAATATATATATGTACACTTCCTTCCATAACCAATATATTAATTAATTATAACTACGCCAATTAAATGCAACTAAATATTGTAGTAGCATCCTACAGCGCTCAATCATTTGAAGTAGATCATCTAGTGCTTAATTTCAACATTAACAAGTGTGAAATCAATTTTGGGACATCACCGGACCCCACAAAAGCTTTCCAAGACCTCACACTCATCTCCACGCGTCCACACGCGCTGCCACATGTTTATAGAATAGCCACACGCGCTTCCCTTTAGTAGCAGGCGCGTCCACGCGCCTGTAGCCTCCCTCAGCACATGCTGGCACGCAACCATTGGCTACATTCAGTGGTCCACCATGTAGCCACCCGCACTGAATCCCTCGCCTTCATCAAGCCGCATCCCACGGTTATAAATCCAAATGCAAGGGAACACGCCCACACTGGATTATCCTACACCCATTAACTCTATCCAACGGCCTAGACACACACACTTACCCTGGTACCATATGCCGTGCCACACTGAATCCTTTTTTTTGATTATCAGGACCATCCTAAGGTCCTGATTTTAAGCTCACAGTAGCGCTGTACGCCGCGCCGCACTGTAGCGCACCCCTTATTGGAGCGCCAACGTATATATAAACCATATATATTATATATATATATATATATATATATATATATATATATATATATATAAAATTTTACACAATTAAATATAAAAATGAATCTAATTAATTCCAGGAAAATATAAAAAAAAATACCAGAAAATATAGAAACCATAATTAATCCTCTTGGGTCACCAATTCACCTATACTTTGATTTTTAAAAATATAAACAACACCTACGTACACCATTAAAATCCCATAAATCCACAAATAGATATAACAATTTATATTTTTAATTATTCTGATCTAATTATGATTTAATCAGTAAATTTAATTTAAAATTCTGATACTCAAAGTGATAAACTTATGGGTCCTAAGAGGAGAGTTAGAAAATAACTTGCCTGAAGGTTTCGAAACGAAACCAACGCTTCAATCTTTGATTGTCTTTTCAAATTCCGGCATCCTCTTTCTCAGATCCGGCCTACTCCTTGTCAGCTTTCCCTTCTTCTTCTCTCTCTATCTCTCTTATTTTTCTAACGTATCAACCTTTTTAACCCTAAACCTTATGTGTATATTTATACACATAAAAACTTAAATCCTATTCCTAATAGGATTACCAAATAGAATAATAAAATTATACTCTTTAAATAATATAATATATAAACATATATTATATTACATATACATATATATATCTCCCATAATTAAACCATCGGTTAATTAAATCATATAGACTTATATATATCCATAAATATATATATTTCTATATACATCTTTCCCTAACAATTATTAATTAATTATATTTATATAGTTATAATTAATACAAAAATGATCATTTAAATAATTAAATAACCATGGGCCTTTATTAATTAACCAATAAGGCCTCCTTCAAGCCCAAGACCATATCCTCTGGTCCAACTTTCCTTAAGCCCAAATCCAATTAATTAAAATAATTAAATAACCACTTAAATTAAAATAACTAATTATATAAAGCACATAAATAAACAAGAATTTACAACTAAGTCATACCATAGTAATAAAATCAACACGCCAATAATTTAATCAATAAAGAACCACACAAACAATCAATCATCATACATAATCACGAAATATAACTTAATTAAAATAAGATAATTAATCTAGCACTCAATAAAATAAAATAAATCATTGAAAAATCAAATAAAATAATTAATCCTAATTAATAAATCCTTTAAAAATATCGGGGTATTACACATCCGCATACGTAGGACTTCTCTCGATGTTCTAGTTTAGTTTTATTTTCTATTATCTCAATTCAGTTGGAATTTTTATTTAGGGGTCCACTAGATGGATTCCTAAGTTGTACTTTTGGAGGTTTTGGAGGATTTGATATTGGATACTTCTTTTAGCATTATTCTATTTCTTATTTCATTCTTTTTATATTCTGTGTTCGCTTTAAAATACTTTAATTGTTTGATACTTCCCTCGGGTTTGGGCATGGGCTTGATCAACCCGTGTCTCGAATCTGAGGGGTATCACATATTGCCTTCGAACAAAAACATACACAAAATTTCATACCAGAAAGTCCAATTCTCCTTCAAATCCACAGTACTCCTCCAGAATGGGTAAAAATGGAGCTGTAATTCTTGGACAACATCAAATTTACATTCATTTTGACCCAACCGAAGTCAAGGTTCTAACAAGACATATCGATTTTGTAAATAGCTTTCATAATGATATGGAACCAGCTACCTTTAACCATTTGATGTACTATAAAGCTTATCGTCAGGTTAACCCAAGTTGCAACCCTGGTTTTAGACTCTACGACCATAATATAAATATGAAAATTTTCATCAAAGATAGAATTCCCTATGTCATCAGATCTCCCCCAGAAATTGAGACATCTCCAGAAGTTAAAGAAATAATAAATGAAGAAAAAATGTTGCTTGAGCAGTTCGAACTTGCCTACAGAAATGAAGAAACTAGTTCACCTGACAGCATTGATGCATATGTGGCCCGCATAGATGAAAGTCCAGCAGATATCAATACCGACAGAAATTTGTCCAATATGCTAGAATTCTAATAATTTTAAGAGCATCCAAGAAAAAACAGATTCTTAACAGTGTACAGATAAAAGCAGATCCACCGAAAGTAGACTCTCAACAATAAAAGTTGATAATACTCTCCAGAAGCAGACATCAATAGTTCAGCAATAATTCAAACCATCTTATCTCTAAAGTATCTTGCATCTCAACCGTCTATGCAGTATCTGCAATCTCAACTGAAGATTCATCTCCCACCATATCTATAAAAGGAGCCACTCTGCTCAAGAATAGATCATCGAGTTTTAAAGCAATCAAGTTAAGAGCCATCAAGCATTTCAGCTTTTAGTTTCCTAGTGTAATTCCTTTCAGTGTGTTTCTTTTTGTAAAATATTGTGTGAGAGTGTATCCATGTATAAACAGTGTGTATCAATGTATATATTTATCGTGAAATAAATTATCCAGTTTACTCTTATTCAAAAATTCCTTTTCTTTATTTAGTATTTTCAGTACTTCTGGGCAACAGACTTCTGTCGGCCAAAAGATCAAATATATAGATTTTATTTAACCAGACAGTGTAAATCTTAGAATTTTCTTGAATCCAACCAGTATAAGCAGCCTTAGTTTTAATATAACAATTTCTTCTGTGAGTTGGCTCGAACTGTTGGCTTGTTGGCTCGTTCTTGCCGGTGTTCAGACGTTTTTATAGGGCGTTATCAGAGTGTTATCAGGTTCGGCAGTCATTTATGTGATTTAATTGTTAATTTTATTTCTACGTTATTTTGCATGCTTCTATTCGACTATATTGAACTTAATTTTGGTATTAGAGCCTATACTATATAAGATCTTTTGTCTAAAGAAGTGTACAAGTCCATATTAATCTATTGTGAAATTTTAATTTATTTTGAAAAATTAAAAAGTTTAAAAATAATTTGTTCAAGAACCTTTTTGTAAGTTTATTTCATGTTCTAAGGCTTTTATGTTATAATAATTTATTATTTTGGATCATTATAGTAATATAATTTGTTGTGGGGTATAAAGTATAAAATGAAGTACATTTTAGAGAAATATTTTGATGGTCCACCCAATTATTAGTACTTTAAAACCTAGACCTCATTGTATCGAAATATGTGAACCTTAACCCATGTATAGGTAAAAATCCTAATAATATATCCCCAAAATCAAATTTTAATTGAATTGGACCACTGACTGAGTGATGGTCCTACCTAATGTTCTGGTAGCTCGTGTGATTTGACAAAAGTTGGGGAAAGGAGAGCAGAGTAGTGAGTCACGAATGAGCGAGCATTTAAGCTTCAATCAACGATTGTCTTCTTCTCAATTAAGATATAAGGCGGCTCGAGTCGTTTGAAGAGCCTCCCATTAGTCCATCACCACAGGCACAGACTCTCCGATCTTTGCCCAATCGTCCGATCCGAAAATGAACGACACAGATGTCTCCAAGCAGATCCAGCAGATGGTCAGATTCATCCGCCAAGAAGCCGAAGAGAAGGCCAACGAGATCTCTGTTTCTGCTGAAGAAGTAAGCCAATTCTCATCTCAACTCCAATTTATATCCAGATATCATTCAATTTATATATATATATGTATGTGTGTGTGTTTACATGAGAGTGATATCGATTGATGGATATAGTTACGTATAGGTATAGAGATATAATGGATTTATATACGAACGTTACGATTGTCACAGGAATTCAACATCGAGAAGTTGCAACTGGTAGAAGCGGAGAAGAAGAAGATCAGACAAGAATATGAGCGTAAAGAGAAGCAAGTTGACGTTCGCAGGAAAATGTATTTTACTTTAACTCTTCCCCTTATACGCGCGCACACACGCATATATGTTTGAATGTATGTATAAACTCAGTACACAATTTTATATCTGTTTAGAAACCTAGGTCAGTTTTAAATTTTAATCGTTGTGGTTAGAATGGGTTGAGGACCATTATAAATCAGTCTGGTGATATGATATGGTTTTTATTGTTTCCTTGTCTGATCTGACTAAACTGATTGTGGAGTGTATTTTATTGTTAAAAATGGATCTGATTTCTCAGTTTCTGATGTTTTCATGTATCAATTAGACTTCTTTTCTTAATGTTGAATTATGTTCTCTAGATCCGTATAAATTAGACTTCTTTTCTTAATATTAGTCTAAAGTGTTAATTGTACACCAGTTTAGCAACCAAAAATTTTAATAATATTTATGGATTGCATTTAGATGGGGGCAGGGAGATAGATGGAGATTTGATTTTTTTGGGTTAAATTTCCCCCTTCTGATCATGTGTATAATTTGCCTACCAACTGCTGCTGATCACATGAGTGGATAGCCTTCAACTCATGATCAAACTTACTATTGTATTCCTTGCTTTAAAACATGCACACTGTTGCTGTTTGTAGTTCACAGTTGATCGCATGTAATGATGCAATGCAGAGGAATTATTCTGGTCTCAAATGAATCAGGGCCCCATGCTGTAAAAGAAAATTTAAGAAAGTAAAAAACAGTTACATTTGTGTTTGGAAGCCAAATATCCACGTCTTGGAATTTGAGGAATCTAGATGCTACCAAACGTATCTTTACAGTTGTTTTATGAACTCTAGAGGACACCAAGATAGGGCAGCTATACTAAAAAGTTCTGTTTTCAATTACATGCTTTTTGGAAACCACTTCTCCCCTCACCCGACAAAAGAGGGGGAATAGTATTTTTCTTTTTCTTTTTTATACTCAAGTTTGGATTAAAAAAGGGAATTACATTTAAATTAGTTTTCGAATTTGCTAACCACTTCAACTATAGTGAGGTTCCCCCACTGTTAAAAACATATATATGCGGAATTAGGAAAATAAAATAAATCGGTTTAGAGGGCAATAATTTCATAACCAGATTATAATATCATATGCACTTATATGGGGTAAAAAGATGGAGCTTTGAAGAGAAGACTTCCTATTGTCATCTTTTGAGCATATTTAAATTTAATGATGTCAATAAGTGCTAATGAATTTCTTTATATTGATTTGCAGTGAGTACTCTATGCAGCTCAATGCTTCTCGGATCAAAGTTCTTCAAGCTCAGGATGATTTGGTTAGTTCCATGAAAGAGGCATCATCAAAGGAACTCCTGAATGTCAGCCTTGGTCACCATGGGCTCACGGAACTCCTGCATATCGGCCATGATCACCATATGTACAAACATCTTTTAAATGGTCTCATTGTTCAGGTCAGTGAAAATTTACTAGATTTCGATACCCTTATATAATATATATACTATAATGTTTTTCTGTGAGAATATATTTCATGCATCACGATTAACTTGTTACATCAGTTAAGTGAATGATATAGTTTGTTCTGTTATTGATAAATTTGGGTTATGGTTCTCCCAGTCTTTTAAATTTTATACTTTCTCAGAAAGTTCTCGTGAAACATTTTCTACGAGTTTATAAGAATTAGATTTTTCCATCACTTGAGTTTTTGGTAAAAGAGAAAGAAGTGGTTGAGAGGATTAAGGATACATTAGGAGCCATGTGAAGTTTATATGCATAAATATTCAAGTTATCGCATAGGGAAAAAATATATATAAAATGCACATGAAAAATATTTTTTTAATTAATTTTTTTACTTCTGACATGATCTTGAAGTTCATTTGTGAAAACTCGAAATGTCATCATGATTACTCTTAATTTTGCTATAGTTGCTAGAATTATTTATGTTGGCATTAATATTCTAGTAGTGGCATTAGCCTCGAGGTTGAAGTTTTGCTTTCCAAAGCCAACGAAAAAAAGAATGGATCAATGCAACTTTTATAGGGCATTGCATTATGCATTTTAAGTTCTGAAAATGAGAACTTCTAGAATGCTATATAAAAATAAAATTATTATTGTAATTCGGAGATTTGACTAGTAACGCTAGGTTTGCCATATTTATTGCAGAGTTTGCTCAGACTAAAAGAGCCATCTGTATTATTGCGTTGTCGGAAAGATGACGTAGATTTGGTGGAGTCTGTTTTGGACTCAGCAAAGGAAGAATATGCAAATAAAGCGAATGTTCATGCACCTGAGATTATAATTGACAACGTCTACCTTCCTCCTGCTCCTTCCCATCATCACGCGCATGGTCTCTCTTGGTAATCTATTATTTGGTTAAAAATAAATATTTAGAATAACTGGAGTAGAATCATTCACATGGTTTTTATTATGTGCTGCAGTTAACTAGACAGCAGCCAGGCAATTAAATGTGCCGAGTCAGATTTTAGCCTCCTAACACCCAATTTTTAGTACTTAGTTAATTGTTATTATGAAAAATTGATGATGGAAAAATCCTCTATTGATGCTCTTATTGGGTTTTCAGCTATGGAGGTGTAGTGTTGGCTTCTCGAGATGGGAAAATTGTGTGTGAGAACACCCTCGATGCAAGGTTGGATGTTGTATTTCGTAAAAAACTTCCAGAGGTAATTTTGATCTGAATACCCTTATTTTTTCCTTTTTTCTATGACTATGAGTATTGTCGTGTGTTGTCTTTGCCTTAGGATTTTGTGATGTCACAATTATAGAGCATCCTTAAGTGTTCATATTTTATCTTTTCATATTTTCTGCAAGTATGAAACATTAGAAAATGCATCAATCTTCTACAACCGAGGTGTTTGGAACGCTATTTGTCCATTACTCCACCCTTGTGTGCACTTGTTCTCCTTTTATCTATATGGACAACTTGACATTCTGTGTTCGCCTCTAATTCACTTCCGCTTTTATGGATAAACTTAAGATCAAACTTCATCCAATGTCAATGAAGTAACTGCTTCCATGGATTTCTCTGCATAGTTCTTTCATGATGAAAATGCACCAGCATTGTTAGTAAATGATGACAATTATGCTTTATCTGCCTGATAGGAATATTAGTGGTGTATCCTTCTGTTCAAATTGCAACTCTGACAATAGGAGGCGTAAAATATTTGGTGCTTACACATTTCATGGATGGGTGTTTCTTATATGCTTGAAACTCCCAGCAGAACCTGGTTTGCCAATTATATAAGTGAAAGAGTGATCCTAAGTTAAATTCTTCATCAGTTAAAGCCCAATTTAACCTTCTACAAAAAAAAAATCTTTTCATATGGATATCAACTATGTATTTTTTTTTCAAAGTTCTGTTAAGCATTGTGTGCTATAAGGGAAACCATAGAGAGAGGGGGGCTGGTCCAATTGCTTTAACCAATATTGTGTAGAACAGGCGGTCCATTAGCTACCAATTTCTGCTGACATAAAGAAATAGTTTTTATGTGTACAAAATAATTATTCCTTAAGGCTTTTGATAAGTAAATCGAATTTTCTATTTTTGTATCATAAAAATTATAACTTTCATAATCGTTATTTTGAATATGATCAACACACAACAATGATGTGCACTTTTCTATTTAGAGATAGTTGTGATACTCCTATTCTCCTCCCATGCAGACCCATGCAATAAAGCCTCCCCATGTCGTACTTTAATTTTTTTAATAAATATTATAAAAAATTCAATTTATTTTTGTGTGTGAACTAAATGGTTAACCGAAATTATGAAACCATTGTTTTGAACACAAGTCAGGCAAATGTCTTGAGAGGTTTCTGTGTCAATACATGCCTGGCACAGACGCCATTCCTTCAATATGTCTGTGCGTCTTAAATGCTATGTATGACCTTGTTTCAAACCCGTGTCTGTTATTTTTTCGTGTTGCAGATTCGCAAGCTGCTCTTTGGTCAGATTGCTGCATGAAGGGCTGGTGTTCTTTGTATTTATCATTTCTTATTTTTTCAAGCTCTCGAGATTAAAAGATTCAATTATGGACAACTGTTGTCTAATGGCTTATTCATGTACGTTTTTTTTTCGTGTTCTCTAAAATGCTTTATTTGCTTGCATGAATGAGGCTGCTCATTCTGGGATACATTGAAAAACATATGTGGTAGGCTGTTCATTTCTTTGTTGCTGCTCATTTTGCGATACATGGCAAGACATTTGTGGTTTGAGTAATATTTATTTGAGAATTCAAGCTTGAGCTAATTTCTTTTACTGAATAAATATACCTTGATTGGATTTAGGCTGTGTTCGCTTGAATTATTCAACATATAAGTTTGGACATAGTTGTCCGTGGACGTGACCCCTAAAAAAAAATTGTTTGCACATTTTATGTTGTCAGCATCACAATACTACCACTTGAGGTACTTCTGCTGAGGATCCACATAAATATAGCAACAAAATAATCATATAGAAGCGACACAAATAAATAGAACATAAGTGAAAATTCAAACTGATTCTCTAAATAATTAGCGTTTCAATTTTTAAACACATGGACTTGATTCTCTAAATCTCTTGTTTAACAATATTATTTTTAATTTTAATACAGTTAAATACATTTGTTCCATGTATTAAAATATAAAATAAATGTGTTGAAACCGAACATAATGTGTTAAAAAATGAGCTGTTACGGTACATGGATGCCTTGCATAAAGAATATCTAAACAACCAAGTTGTTCTGAATATATATATAGATCATTAAACTTTCTCCATACCAAATATGATAACAGATATTTAAGTATAAAAACGATAATTATCAAAAATATATTAGTTTTAATAACTTTCCTTTCATCTCAATTCAATTTCCCAATTTGTATCTTTAATTAGAAGAGCCAAGACCAAATTGTTTTGAAACCATCAAGAAGGGGAATGGGATTCAAGGGTCTTTTGATGGTGAGATCTGTTACTCTGCCATGTTAAACAAGAACAACAATGGAGAGAAGGAAGGGACCCCACCAAAAAGTTTTTTTTTTGGTCAGGAACCAAAAATTATGCCCAAGTTGTTAGGAAGCCCTCTCATAATGAGTTATTATTCAAGCAATGAATTAATTAACTCATTAAATGAGGTATTTGGCTTTTCACAATTTTTATAAATTGTCTTAATTTAATAATTAAATTAAAAAAAAAAAAAAAATCATGCTTCATGTCACAGGCTCAAGTAGAGATGACAAAATTCTTATTCTCTCCGGGTTCTCGCTCCGTCCCACCTGTCCCATTTAGGATGGGTGGGTTTGGAGACCCTTTTATGTCAATGTAGATTTCTGAACCTCGGCAGGTGGGGATAAGATAAACGGGCCCCGTTTATAATGTAAGCTTACAAAAATACCCTTAAATATATATGTTAAAGTGTGTGTGTGTGTATATAACATGTGGAAACAATTTAAAACTTAGCAAACAACCTTTTATTTTTATTAATAATCTTTTTCTCTTCACATTTTTATATCTTTCTTTTACTTTTTTCTTCCTCCAACAAAGGATATAATTTTTTTTTTTTTTTTCTTTTAACCTTTTTTCTTTCTCCAACAAAAGTAAACAATTATTTATTTATTGAATTCAAAATATCCTTCAACTGATAAAACAACTGCAATGATAATAAGAAGGTTAGCCGTTATGGGGGTGGGATGGGGATGGAGTGAGAACGAGAATGGAGGTGAAAGTGAAAATTTATTTAAGTATAAAAGCTAGAGTAAGGGTGAAAAAATTTACGGGGACGAGAATGGGGGATTGAGATCCCCCTGGCATCCCTTTTCTCAAGACGGCATCACTTTTGTTAATTTTCTCACCTAGCAGATTTATTTGTTTTTGGGTAAAATAATGGCCAACACATTTTGCTTTCAAATCCAATTGTAAATCTTTGTAGTATCGAAACCGATGCTGCTATTGTTTACCTTAGATCGCACCTTACGCGATATACTTTTCAAATCAAATAAATAATCTTCGCAAGATCCAAATTGAAACCAATGACACTACTTATGTTTAAATTTTCCTTTTTTAACAATAACATTTAGTTTCTTGATTTGTGTGAAATGAAAGATTGCTAAGAATATTTCTAAGATTGCTAAGAACATTTTGTTTTAAAAAACTTGACAATTAACCCAACCATTGTAAACTCAATATATATATATATACACACACACTTACTGTTGCCTAATTTTATTAGTAAAATAAATAAATAATTGTTTAGGATCGAATATTGCCTTTATGGACTTCACGTGATTTGAAAAGATAAAGGCATTGTCTTTGCAACTTTTATCAACTTTACATGATTTGAAAAGATTATCTCCATGCCTCGTAAATGTTTTAATAATATAGAATGACCTATTTCCCTATTTAAAGTTTAAACCTACCATCTTAACATTTTTCGTTACCATACGGTCCATACCTATAATAACTTGTCGTGTAGCAAAGATTTACGTCACTGTAGAATAGATAGTTGTGTGAGTTCTTTAAATAAAAGAGAAAAGAAAGTTGTTACACCTCCCTCCTTCACCCATTTTAATTAATGTGCTCATTTCTAATACTTAATATCATTTTTATATGTTGTCAAGACGGCTTGACACGCGTAGAGGTATAAAGTGAAATCGTTAATTAGGTTTTTTAACGTTAAAATGTACTCAGTTTTTAAAATAAAATGGTATTCCTTTCGTCCCAATTTAAGTGTCATTTATAAAAAGTAATAATTTTTAAAGAGATATGTGAGACATTTATTGTTTTTCTGAAAAATTATTAACTTATTTTTTTAAGTTTTGAATATTCAAATTTAAAATTTTAAACTCAACAAACATATATGGAAAGTGAAATATATTGTTATTTTGGGGCAGACAAAAAAAAAAAAAAAAAAAAAAAAAAAAAAAAAAAAACCGTAATACTTATTTGGGGACAGAGTGAGTATAAATGTTCCTAACTCAATAATAGAAAAATCAAATATTTGGATATTTTTGTCACTTACACGTATAATTTTTTTTTTTTTTTTTAAAAGTAATTGGTTAAAAGAAAAGTTCATTTATGAGAAAAATTCACCGTGTGCGCAATGTGCACATACGGACAACATCGAAATCACAATCAGCAATAACTGCATGCAACCCATAAAATTATATTAATGGTGAAGTTATGTTGCATATTAGTGATTCTCAGTTTATGCAAAAGCAAACACACACAATATTGAAGTAACATATTATCTTTAATTTTAACTTTCCTTTTCAATTCTTTCACCCAACCGTGTGTTTTGTCTACATAAAAAAAATAAAAAAAATTAGAAGAATTATATTTTATTGACCAAATTAAAGAAACTTTTTTAAAAGCGACCTTGTTAATTATTATTTTATTTTCACAGGAAAATAAGAGAAAAGAAAATGAGAGAAGAAACCTGTAACATTGATAACAATAAATATTTATAATCCATAGAAGCAATCGTGATTAATTAATATATAACGAAAGTTGACAATGAAATTGTTCACAAGTCACAACTATCATATATATTATATAGTTAGGGTGTAGTAATAAAAACTTAAGCTTTGCAAGAATAATGCAAATATAGAATGATTTAAAGAAAGACAACTACTGTATTCCATATATATGTATGTATGTGTGCGTGTGTGTGCGCGCGCCTGTGTTATATATATATATATAACAGATGCAATGATGCATCAGTAATTAGTTGTGGGGTTTACTGCATTCCACTGAAATGAAAGACAGCTACTATATTGATTGCTATTTAATGTTCGATATTAATTCTGTCCTAGTCCTTTGCCAGATTATACCCATTTCTAATTAATGCATGTTGCTATTTCTATCAAGCTTGGCAATATTTGTTTTGACTGTTAGATGAATTACGGAGTATATATGAATATCACTTTCATGTCATCAACATTTCAACCACTAAATATTTAAATTTGTCTCGTGTGATATATATATATATATATATATAAATAAATAAGTCAAGCTAGGTATTCAACAACAATAATGCATGATGATATATATTTGCCATTGCAGTACTGTGAGTGCATGCACCTCAAGTTCTTGGCAACTGTTCATCAGAAGCCGATCGAAGCATCGATAAATCTTGCATTTTCAAGCAGCCTATTGTTTGCTACTGTTTATTTGATCTTGAGGGCTCCCATTTTTGCCTCTCTACATCAAAGATTTCGACAAGTTTGATCTCAACTAATGGACTTTTCACACGGTGAGTAATCAGAACTGATGAGTCAATGCTTGTTTTTTGTGTTTTTTTCTTCCCAAATTTGCATTCACAAATTCATGATAAAGACACAAATGGGCAGTGTGATATTCTAGGAAATTAACAGAAAACTAAAGTGGTGTTGAATAATTTCATATGAAAAGATATATAAATTAAGGTGTCATCTAGATCTGCATGAGAGAGATGATGATGATGATCACAAGTAGCACTCGCAGAGAATACAAAACTGAAACATCTTGTCAATAATATTGTGTTGTTATATACACATTTATGCAAATAGTGCATGATTTTGTAACTCATCTGCATAATTAGAAGTTTAATATTATTAACAATAGTCCAATTATTATGTTGCTCCTCCCAAGAGGACAACGCATCTTCCTTTCTATATATATATATATATATCTAACATTTATATGAGAAATCAACAACATCATAGTTGCATGTACAACATGAGAGATTTTCCGTCGTTTGCTGCATCATTTTCCATGTCTCGCCAAAATTCTGTCCCAGCTTCCCCCTTCACCTTAAGTGACTAAATGTGTCCATGGGAACACTGACAGAAACCTTTCGAATAAAGTGAATTTGTACAGCAGAACCACATGAATTCAAAGGTCTGAGCATTCGGTAAAATATTTAATAGTCCGTGAGCAGCGATTATGTTATGTCCCTGGCCAATGAAAATCTCATCCTTCCCTTTACGGTGGTAGGAAATGGTTAATTAGTATTAGCAGGGGAGGGAGCAAAGCCAAGGGCGGATTTAGAAGTAATCCCACAATTCTTTTTTTTACTATAAGTAATTTTAGTCCAAGCCAAAAAAATATAAAAATTTATTATTATTATTATTATTAATATTAACCCATCCAAAAAAATATTAACCCACCTCATTAAAAATTCCTGAATCTGCCCTTGGCCGGGAGTACTATTTATCCAGTAGCCTAGGTACTGAATACTCCCAGTATACCGCCAAATACAGATTAGATTCACTACAGAGGATGTTGATTCTCATCCCACTTAAACATAATACGTGGATGGCACATTCCTATTCCAAAAATGTGACTGTGACTGTGAGTGTGTCCTTCCATGCATCACTGACTTTGATTGAGGCTTTCTTGTCCTTTATTATTTGGACCAACAAACATTTTTTTGACTGGTAGCCACAGGAGGAATCCTAACGCGCTCGTCATTTCCAGCTACACGCAAGTGAGTCCTATCACTCCACGTGAAAGGTGAGAAATCAACTTTCCACAAGTTTGTAGTGTACTGTGGTAGTAACGTAGTGCATCTCCATTTTATAGTCCTGCAAGTAGTTCATGAAAACTGAGAATCAATTTGACTAATCTATATAAACATATGGTGTTCACCTTTCTAATCGTCCTAGTTTGAATTGTAAGTTCGATCCCAACTCGAAAACTTCTATTTTCATGTTGATGTTCTTCATGTTTGGTGTGCTTTTCTTTGGTTCAGTTGTAAATGTAACTGCGTGTATTTTTCTTTGGGATTGTGTTTTCTCGCTTGGCTTCTAGATGTTTCAGTACCAGTCCTTCCGTTCTACCAACAACTTTTATTTGTATTTTTGTTTCAAATTAAAGAATAACTTTACATTTTGGAACTGAAGGATCAAGTGTGTCCGTGTCATTGCTCGTGTCATCTGCTTCATGAAGATGACGAAATGTGTTGTGAACTTAAAACCTAGCCAAGTAACTTTTTGAAATCAATTTATCTTCCATTCCGTTCTATCTAGGATGATATAGCCTCAGTCAAACCACTTGTTACAAATTCTACCCACGTTAACTTTGATCTACACTTTCCCTAACATTACCCTTAAGTGACATGGTCACCTCTTTCTATCTAGCTCAAGATACACAAATCAATATGCAATAATTATCAACGCATCTCAAAAGGGAACCATGAAATTTGATAGATGCCATACCTGCTTGTTTGTTTTGAGAGAAGCAAATGCTGCAAGCACCACATCAGATTTTGTCAAGTCATGAATTTAATGAAATTCAGAACCACAAGCAATGTTATTTTTTTATTTTTTGTCTCCCAAAGATTCAGTGCATGAAATGTTCCACAAGTAATAGGGTGAAAGTAAAACTCAAGCAAACAACTGAAACCAAGTCATTGAACATATTGATATTTAGCAATACTATTTATTCAACTAAAACACCAATATCTAATCAATAATCCTTTTTTCTTTTCTTTTTTTCTCTTCTGAAGCTGCATATTTCTAAGGAAAGAATGGGTGCAGACATCTGGACCATTTTCTGTGGGGATTCTGAGTTTTCATATGAAGGACAGAATTGCAGTTCTGGTTTACGGACCGTTATTGATCCATATTCATGTATCAACCATGTTTTGAACATTTCTTTCGATATCATTCTCTTTTTCATCGTATTATTTATGTTCATTCATAAATCATCCTCGAGCAAGATGGTAGCCTTGCCACAGTCTCAACACTACTGGCTAGTATCAATTTCTTCGGTCATTTTCAATAGTGGGTTGAGCTTGGCTTATCTTGGACTTGGGATATGGATAATACAAGAGAAATTGAGATCAGAACAGAGTGTACTACCTCTGCATGGGTGGCTAGTGGTTTTGTTCCAAGGATTCACATGGTTGTTACTGGCTTTAACCATGAGTCTCAAGAGGCAATATCATACAAGAACAGTTAAAATTTGTTCAATTATAGCTTTCTTGGTTGCAGGATTCCTCTGCATTTCATCTCTGCATAAAGCTATCACAGACAAAGTAATATCAGTTAAAATTGTGTTGGATATTTTATGTTTTCCTGGAGCAATTCTACTTCTCTTCTGTGTTTTTCAGAGAAAAGAATGCGTAGGTACTGAACCTGGCACCAATATTGATGCACTCTATGCACCTTTACAAAGTGAAGATGCAGAGGCCAGTCGTGAGATCCATGTGGATGACAATACCACTCCTTTTGCCAAAGCAGGATTTCTTAGTAGGATGTCGTTTTGGTGGTTGAATCCATTACTGAAGACAGGTAAAGAGAAAATTCTTGAGGACAAAGATATTCCAAAGTTACGCCAGGAAGAACGAGCAGAGACATGTTACTTCTTGTTCAAGGAGCAACTGAGCAAACAGAAACAAAGAGACTCATCGAATACCCCATCCGTTTTCTCGACAATATTTTTCTGCCAATGGAAAGCTATTCTAGTGTCAGGGTTCTTTGCATTGTTGAAGGTAGTCACAGTGTCTACTGGTCCTCTGTTTCTCAAAGCTTTCATCCTGGTGGCTGAAGGCGAAGTGTCTTTTAAATATGAGGGTTATGCACTGACTGGAGGGCTCTTCTTTGCAAAATGCTTAGAATCACTATCGGACAGGCAGTGGAACTTCCGGACAAGACTAATTGGGCTTCAACTACGGTCTTTGCTCTCTGCAGCTATTTATCAGAAGCAACTACGACTCTCAAATGCTGCAAGGGAAAATCATTCTCCTGGCCAGATTATGAACTACGTCACACTGGATGCTTACAAAATAGGCGAATTTCCATACTGGTTTCATCAGATATGGGCAACAAGCCTTCAGATTTGTCTTGCATTACTTATTATTTACAATGCTGTGGGGCTAGCAACTGTTGCAGCCTTAACGGTAATAATACTAACAGTGCTAGGAAATTCTCCAGTGGCAAAAATACAGCACAAGTACATGACAAAGCTAATGGTGGCACAAGATAAGAGACTGAAATCTATTTCTGAGGCACTTGCAAACATGAAAGTTTTGAAGTTGTATGCTTGGGAGACACATTTTAAGAATGTTACAGAAAGCCTAAGGAAAGAAGAATCGAAGTGGTTATCAGCAGCTCTGACACAAAAAGGCTACAATCTGGTTTTATTTTGGTCATCTAATATCATAGTTTCAGCTGTTACTTTTTGGGCGTGCTACTTCCTCAGTATTCCTCTCAATGCTAGTAACGTTTTCACATTTCTAGCAACATTACGCCTTGTTCAGGAGCCTATTAGGTTGATCCCTGACGTCGGTGGTGTGTTCATTGAAGCAAAAGTTTCATTTACTCGGATTGTGAAGTTCCTCGAGGAACCTGAATTGCAGAACAGACATTTTAAGCAAAATTTTTCTAGGAAGGAACTTGAGCAGTCTATACTCATCAATTCGACAAGAATTTCATGGGATGCTACATCTTCAAAGCCCACCCTAACTGACATAAATTTTGTGGTTAAACCTGGAGAGAAGGTTGCTATATGTGGGGTAGTTGGCTCAGGTAAATCAACCCTTCTAGCCACAATTCTTGGAGAAGTTCCAAACATCAATGGCATAGTAAGTCCTTAATTTATCTTCTTAGTTTCTCTTCTAAACCAAGGATTTAGTATCCTATCATTTCACGTTAAGGCATGCTGTTGTCTAGAGAAAAGTACCATGTCAGCATTGGAATATTAGCACAACAATAGCTTGCTAAATAGTTAACCACTTGCAGGAAATAAACTAGAAGTTAAATTGTTCCTAGGAAGCTATAGAAATATGGAATTTTTTTTTTTAATAATTGAGAAGTCCATAGCTTCTAGATTGGTACTTTAATTTACCAGTGTATTTTCTGCATCATATTCCAGGTTCAAGTTAATGGAGAGATTGCATATGTTTCTCAGACAGCATGGATCCAGACAGGGACTGTACAGGAAAATATTCTCTTTGGATCTGCCATGGACCGACATAGATACCAAGAAGTACTTGAAAAGTGTTCCCTAGTAAAGGACTTGGATATGTTTCCATTTGGTGATTGCACTGTAATAGGAGAACGAGGTGCTAATCTCAGTGGTGGGCAGAAGCAGCGGGTTCAACTTGCACGCGCACTGTATCAAGATGCAGATATATATCTCTTGGATGATCCATTCAGCGCTGTTGATGCGCATACAGCAACCAGTTTATTTAACGTAATTACAATCCTCATCTCACCAATTTATTTTTTAAGTTGAAAACTAATTAGTACGTGTTATGGTCAGGAATATGTCATGGGAGCTCTGGCAGGGAAGACAGTATTACTTGTGACTAACCAAGTTGACTTCCTTCCTGCATTTGATTCAATTTTGGTTAGTAATTTAACCAATACCTCTCTTCATTATCCTTCTGCAACAGTATTCTTTTATATTCGACAGTATGGCAAACTTCCATTTCTTTTATATGTGCCTCCAATAACTTGATACCTAACACTCTGAATCTGTCCTTCTCAGCAAGAATTTGTAATAAAATAATATCATTTTGTTGGCAGTTGATATCTGAAGGGAAAATCCAGGAAGCGGCTACCTATTATCAGTTGTTGGCTGCTAGTCAAGAATTTCAGAACCTTGTCAATGCTCACATTGACACTGCAGGTTCCAAGAGAAACACTGAATGCAGTTCTTCTCAAAGGCCTAAAACTCCCAAAGAAGAGATCCAGAAAGTTAACACTGAGGAACACTTAGACGCAACAAAAGGAGATCAGTTGATTAAGCAAGAAGAAAGAGAAAAAGGAGATACCGGTCTTAAGCCTTACATACAGTATTTGAGACAAGACAAGGGATTCTTGTACCTCTCCCTGTCAGTTATAGCCCACATTATATATATTGTTGGGCAGTTTGCTCAAAATATTTATTTGGCTGCTGAGGTACAGGATCTTAGTACAAGCAGATTGACTATGGTCTTGATATACTCAGTTATTGGGTGCGGCATGTCACTGGTCTTGTTTCTTAGATCTTTATATTTTGTTATTTTAGGCATCAAGGCATCAAATTCTATTTTTTCCAAGTTAATGAGCTCTCTTTTTCGAGCTCCAATGTCTTTTTATGACTCAACACCTCTGGGAAGGATACTAAGTCGGGTACGAACCTACAAAGTTTAACTTCAATGCAGATCATGATCCAGAGAATTCCATGACTTAATCCTTCTATTTATTTATTTATTTATTTTTTCTTTACAGGTATCTTCTGACCTGAGTATTGTGGACCAAGAACTGGCATTCAAATTCAGTTTGGGCATAGGGACAACCATGAACACATATTTCAGCTTTGGAATATTGGGTTTCCTTACCTGGCCAATCTTATTTGTCATAATACCCATGATTTATGTAACCATACTCATACAGGTAATACACCAATGCTAGTGGTTTTGTACTGCACTTTACCAAAAATATTAATTGAAAAGGTAGAATGCATCCTCTGGACTTTTCTGATGCATCACAATATATTTGTTACTGGGTTACTACCCACACAAATTATTTAGCGACATACCTACACAACATACATTTGTTAGGGGCCATTTCTTGGCGAAATGGTAAAAGGCTGACAAGCATGAAGATACAGATTTGAGAGCAGCCACTTTATACACAAGTACTGTTAAAAGTCAAGTCTATCTCTAGTTGTTCTCTCTCGACATTCCACATAAGGTGGGACCAGCACTAGGTAATGCTCATTTACCTACAGAGCATAATATTTTCTTCAAAACACTGGTCCATCAGGTGACTTAGCTTAAAAACTAAAATTAGATGGTTGTCTACAACAAATTTGCCTAAATCCACAGAAACATATGCCTTCTCCCTACCCCAGAAGATAATATATCAATAAGTCATAGAAATATCCACCATGTTCCTAATGCAATTGACAGATGTAGTGCAGGCAGCTCCATAAACTTTGTATGTTTTCTTTTACTTTAGTCTTCCAAACATTTTATTTAACTGTTTTGTCTTAACAAACAGAGATTCTATTTTGCTTCTGCAACTGAGTTGATGAGAATTGAAGGCACAACGAAGTCTCTAGTTGCAAGCCACCTAGCTGAATCCATTACGGGAGTAATGACCATCAGAGCTTTTGGACAGGAAGAACGATTCTTTTCAGAAAATTTGCAGTGTATTGACAAAAATGCAAGTCCAAACTTCCATAATTTTTCAGCAAATGAGTGGTTGATCCAGCGTTTGGAAATATTATGTGCAATTGTTCTCTCATCCTCAGCGCTTGCCATGATTTTGCTTCCTTCAGAAGTTTCTCAATCAGGTTAGTGATCATTATCTTCACCCATATCAATTTTGCATTAAAAATTTGCCTTAAAATTTCTTAGGGTTTCTGTAATATTTGGACCTGTGTCAGTTCAATTTTAAGGTTTAAACTATTTCTTCCAGTAAGTTATTTGAATCCAACTCCTTAAAAAGAGTACCAGCAAATCCTGCCTTGCACTACAAGTTATGCCTTCATAATATGAAATTTCATGGCTCTTAGTAATATAAACCGTGCCATAATTGGATTTCGTCTATTGTATAACACCTTGAACATGCAGAACACACTCTCAAAGAATTCATAATGCTCATGGCTTCCTGATCATGCAGAAAACATCTCAACTTGAGCCCTTAAACATTGCTACATGCATAAATTAAAAGGAGTGGTTTAATTTAGTTGAAATGATACATGATCAAGTGTGGTTAAACTTGGTTATCGATGTTCTGATGGCAGGATATATTGGAATGGAGCTATCCTATGGTCTCTCATTGAATTTATTCCTTGTATTTTCTGTCCAAACCCAGTGCACGCTGTCAAATTTGATTATATCTGTAGAAAGGCTAGAACAGTACATGCATATTCCTAGTGAAGCCCCTGAAATTATAGAAGGCAACCGACCTGCACTCAACTGGCCAGATGTTGGCAAAGTTGAGATATGTGATTTGAAGGTAAATATGACATAAAGTAGACTATTTTCTTTTCTTTATTAGTTTACACTTTCAAGATTTAGGGACTAATAATTGAAAAATGACATGAGCAGGTTAGATATCGGCCCAATGCACCTCTAGTTCTTCAAGGGATCAGTTGCACATTTGAAGGTGGTCACAAAATCGGAATTGTTGGAAGGACAGGTAGTGGGAAGACAACTCTGATTAGTGCCTTGTTCCGCCTGGTAGAGCCTACAGAGGGAATGATAATTATAGATAACCTAAATATTTCTACAATTGGGCTTCACGATCTGAGATCTCATTTTGGAATCATTCCACAAGATCCAATTCTTTTTAGTGGATCCATGAGATACAATCTAGACCCCTTATCGGAGCATACTGATCATGAAATATGGGAGGTAAGGTTTCTGAGTCATATTAGAAATGATTAGGAATATGGATAAGAGTTTCGATCCTACCATGTTCAGTGGCTTTTTATATGTCCATGAAATGTTAGACAAATAGTTGCTGATCAACTATACAATACAACTGTATATCCACCAGAAAACCTCCTGAACTGTGTAAATGAATTGACAAATGGCAATGCAATCTTAGAGCCCCACCTAATCTTTAAATAAGTTCAATTAATTACCAGGAATATTATCGCTGTGGAGGAATATGAAATACACATACTATGAGCTTACAATTATTATTTTTACTGGGAAAAACTTACAAATTTGTCCATTTCTTTTATACATCCAAAATAAAATGTTCTAATGCATATTTTTTTAAACAATGGTATAAAGATCCCTCTCTCTAAATGCCCTTAAAAAATATTATTTTTAGAATTTCATATTACTTTATTTCTTTTAAAAGACCAGGAAAGTATTAATTGGAGACAAAACTATTTAGACTTGCTATTTCATTTAAGAAAAAAAGAATAATAATAAAAGGACCATTTAGGTAAATAACATTATCTTCATGTAACTTTCATGCGACACAATCCATGAAATGGAAATCTTCTAAAACTTTTCTATGAAATTTTCATCTTAAAAGAATGCATGTTAGAAAACTTATTTTCTTTTCTTCCACTTCACTTTCTATTACTTTCACATTCCAATATCTTTTTTCTTCTAACCAAAAGATGCCTCAAGTAAATTGACAAAGAAAGTAGGGACATCAAGTAGCTATAAAGAAAACTACGTGCCATCAATACAATAACAAATGGTGAATGCCAATATGTCAACTAAAGTGTTGTTGCTCCTAATACAATTTCTAACAATGTGTTGAAGGTACTTGAAAAGTGTCAGCTTCGAGAGGCTGTTCAAGAAAAAAAGGAGGGCTTGAACTCCTCAAGTAAGAATCAGAATCTCTCTGTTCAAATCTCTTAACTAAAACTGTTACTGATAACCTAGATTGTAGTTGTGCAAGATGGTTCAAATTGGAGCTTGGGACAAAGACAGTTAATTTGTTTGGGAAGAGCAATATTGAAAAGGAGGAAAATATTAGTGCTAGATGAAGCCACCGCATCTATCGACAATGCAACAGACTCTATTATCCAGAAAACTATACGTACAGAATTTGCAGACTGCACTGTCATAACAGTGGCCCACAGAATATCTACCGTTATGGACTGCACAATGGTGCTTTCTATTAGCGATGGTGAGTTTTATATCCTGATGTCGTGTATAATTAAAAAAAGTCCCATTTTGTTTGTCCAAAGATTGTAGGACAATAAACTTGGTTTACTGTTTACAGGAAAGCTAGTGGAGTATGATGAGCCCATGAAGCTCATGAACAAGGAGGACTCTCTATTTGGGCAGCTGGTTAAGGAATATTGGTCTCATACTGGAAATGAAAGTGAGCACTCAGAATATTGACAAGGAATGCAAGAGTTGCAATAGTTAATAGAGTTTTCAGTCTTGAAGGCATTGGAATGTTATGATATGCATAAAAAGGCTCTCCCTGCTGGACACCAGGTACTGTGAAGTATCAATCAAAGTCGTGTGTTGAAATCTTTAACACTATACCAATCAGTTTTTGGCATAAATTATAATATATATTTTGAAGGAATCAAAATAAATCCAAAACTTCCCCTCCTAACCCAAATTTGGTCAGGGAAATTGGGAATTATAAGAGTTTTCTTAGATTTAGTAGGCTGACATTTTGTCAGAGATGATGGTGCTGAAACAGGTCCCAGTGAACTAACTGAGCTGGTCAAGCCGTTGAGGACCGTATGAATCTGCAAAGCCGTGGTAACGGTAATGAGCACTATGCTGGATATTGTTGGTGTATCAAGGTTATAAAATTATGATATTCAGGTACCTTTGTGTTGGAAATTTTAATGTATAATATATTTTGTGGTCCTTTGCACAACGTTTTCTAAAATTGAATTGCAATGTAATTATCAAGGTTTGATGGATTGGGTTGTAATTCCCAATTATGTAATCAGATTGGTAGTGTGTTTTTTTTACCGCTGGATCGTGTTTTACCCAATTTTCCTGGTGGGATTTAATCTCAAATGTTGATGTCTAGGTCTTCATAACGGCAAGGGAATCGTAGATATACTTGTTTGTAGAAAATTCTGTCTCCCTTAAAGTTATTTTATGAAAAATATTATGTAACCCATCTCATACCAGAAACCATAACAACTCCCAAAAGCGATGAACTCTTTAGGATTTTTGCATCATAAGAAAGGTACAATAAAATTATTTCCTCCAAGTACGCATAAGCAAAATCACCCTATTCGCCATTAATCTTCATGATCTCTAGATAATGTTGATATGATGTTTTATATTTTATTCCCAACACTTCATGTCTGACATCTCTAAGACTCTAACTAGCCTCAAGCCAAGCCAAATGAACAGACACATATCATGGTGATGATAAAACGAAGATGACAATGATGATGTATCAGGGGACTGCGCACATGGGTGTCTTGGCACTCAAAACCACCAAACACCACCTGTATTTTGCTGTGAGAACCCGTAAGCTCATTTTAAGCACCAAGATAGTTTGCACAGCTCGTCGAACCTTAAATATGCCCACTGCCTCCAAAATGTCATATGAACTCTCATGCTTATCTTTAGTGTCATGTATCAGTGTAGTATCGGGAAAGCATAAAGAAATATTCAGAATTTTAAATCCTCCTTCTATTTTGATGGACTTGTATTCTCATGCCTAATCTGTAATGCTATTTTTGTGTAGATGTCAATCCACCATGTTAGACATACTTGAATATGAATCTGCTTAAACTTAAGACTGATACATTTCCCTAGAGATGATACAGAAAAGGTGCATCGCTGAATAAACGTAAAACAGTTCACTCTGCTAACACTATTTTCAAGCACAGGGCAAAAACCGATGTAATTGACAATGGTAAGGTACTAAAGTTTACAATCTATAGAAAAAAGCAGCCAAAAAATTACTGATACTACCAGTCTGTTAAATCCAAAACTAATGAGAACTAGACCATAATTTGCTCAAGGATGAGGAGCCCCTTAGAAAATTCAAATTAACTTCCTGGTCCGCCATTTAATCACAACAAGAACACAAATCACTCTTAAGAACACCCATTAGAAGCACTTGTGCTGTGTCTACATATGCAGGGATTGGACATCTTCAACGTATCTTTGCCTTTTCCAGATGTGAATCCAGAGAATGCCCCTGTTATTACATGGTCCCTGATGAGAAAATTGTAAGCATCTAATATGAATCCTTAACAACATCAATTTCTTCATTAATTCTGAATACACCTCATCAGCTAGGTGTGCTAATCGACTCCTTGGAATTACACAATTACCATCTTCAAGAGCATTAGCAATCCGGATCATTGAGCCTATAATCATGCTAAGCTTCTGACTAAATGCACCAGCCAATTGCACTTTCTTCTATCACCCCTAAGGCCCTAGTGGAAGATGTAAATGCGGATAACACTTGCAAACCAGGCAGAGACATGGCTTCTAATAGAAAAGAACGGAAAAAGAGAACTTACATAATCAACTGCATTCATAAGGGATAAAGGCAAGGATGACGCGACAACCAAGGCTTGCACACTTAGTTGATCTTTGGGCACTTGTGCCTTCAGATTTTTTTTTTTGAAAAAAAAAAAACAATTCAGGAATTCATCGCTCCATAGACTCTCCTCCCTGGCTTCTCACTCTCGCCACTATTTTCTGAAACTGATATACTTATGACTCTGTCACCAATCAAGAAATTTGACTCAAGGTGATAGCTAGGTCATCCTCAAAATAGAAAATCTTACACGAACTAAGCTAAAGAACCAAAATACCATACATGAGATAACCACTTCAAATCTCTCATTCCTCCATTTATTTCTAAATTGAAAATGTCTTGTATTTTCAGCATCAAACATATTTCCATTACCATAATAATAACTTATGCGGCAGAGATATATATATATATATATATATATATATATATATATATGCAAGTCCACTTCCATCTGTAATCCTAAAGTGCTCTGAAATCAGAATGACTTGTATGAAATGTGGCCAATCTTGTGAAACAATAACAACAAATGTATACACCACATATAATTGTAAGGATTTAAGGCTTTCTATCTCAACAATTACCTCAATTTAGCTCGAGATTGTTCAACTTTCAAGAGAAAAATGTGCATGGTATTGAGACTTTTCAAGATGAAGCAACAGTTTAAACTAACAGCAATACATGCGTGTGATTTATGAAGTCAGTAGTTCAAATAATATATATATAAATATATATATATAATATATAAGAGAAAGAAGATGAGTATCCGAAAGTCGTGGACTAGAATGGAGAGCTATACTTTTAGCAATGGAGAGAGAGAGAGTGGTTGCCTTTGAGTCCCCGAATTTAACTTTGGCGAGTTTCATTGAAATCCCTCGCATTTCCTCCCCCTATTTATAAGAATGGTTGGAGTAGCTGAGAGGTTTAATTTTATTTTGAATAAATTACTCTGACGTCCCTAAGGTTTGGAGAAATTGCACAACTGTTATGCATTTATTATTTTAACTTCTCCTAAACTGTTTGACAGCACTCAAGGTGATTTTGAGTATGAAAAATTAAGGGTTAATTACAATGACATCTTATGAGATTTGCCATAACGACAGGCATATACATATTAGGCATTTTTTGAACAATAACACCCCTGTCAAAAATTTCAGCCAACCAGCCCCTAAAAAAATGGTAAAAGACAAGATTGCCCTTCAATATTTAATTGATTTTTAAATGTAAAATATCTCAGGACATAAATGACAGAATTACCCTTGATGTATACTAACCACCATTTCTCTCTAAGCTCTCATCTTAGATGTTGGTGGCGGCGACGAAGTGGACGGTGGTGATCCTAGTCAGAGAGATGATTAGGTGATGAAGATGGAACGTGGGTGTAAAGGACATATTCAAAAGTATGGTTAGGACTATAGACACTCCAATTTTAATGAACTTTTGTTTTGACATTTAATTGGCCCAAACTTGGCCCATTTAAATTATTTAATTAGCTCAGTCCAGGTGATTAAATAAAAAAATAATTATTCCTAATAAAATATATTTGGAATAATTATGGATAATTATCACAATAGAATCGGCCTGGCTCAATTATAATTTTGTCCTTATCAAGAGAGGACACGTGTTATTATCCTATTAATCCAATAAGCCTATAAATAGAGGCATGGAGGAAAGAGGAAGGGGTCCAGAAATTAAGAGTCTCATAAATCCAAAGGGCCAAAAATCCAGAAGGAGAGAAATTAAGAATTCTAGAAATCCAAAATTCTAGAGAGAAATACAGAAGCTTTGCCAACATTCATCCCCAACAGAAAATATATTTAACAGAAAATATATTTAATTCTTCAATTAATTCCAAGCCAACGTCCAATTGAAGTCCAAACTCTAATCCAAATAATTGCAGTGTAATGCTTAAAATTACCGCAACTAAAGTTCCAAGCTTAAATCCATGCACTGCATAAAAGTATTTAGTATTTCAACAATTAACATCCGAAGCATGCATAGATCACATCTAATGTATCAATGACTCTATCATGCATTAAAATTATTTGTCAATCATATTATAGTCCAATAAAATTGCTAAATTAATTTAGCAAGTTAATTCTCTCCATCCGATAACAGCGTGCTAAGTTATATACTAGTATACTGTTTAATCTTTTAGCACAGAGCCACAATATGCTACAAGTCTAATTTTGTTAATTGAAAGACTCCATTATACCTCCAAACTTTAATTTAGAATCATATTGTCGCACCTTAAATTGTCAAATTGAAATTAGGCAACTTAACTTCCTTCTAGTAGTTAACCGTGCGCAAGTTGTTAATTAACGCACTGTTAATTCCATTTATACAAAGAGGGTATTTTATGCAATCTAAGACCTTGATTACATGTTAAATTAATTATTAAAAATCCCCCTAAAGTTTTAAAACTGTTCGAGAACCCCAAGTGCCCAAATAGTAGCCAAAAAGTCACTGTACGCTTCAAAATGAAAGAGCCTGCTTCCAAAATAAGTGGAGCAGGCTCCACTTTGCCTAGAGCCGGCTCTCCCACAAGGGGGAGCCGGCTCCCCTTGCCTAGAGCCGGCTCTCTCCATGGGAGAGCCGGCTTTCTCCCTTTTGAGAGCCCCAGTTTGTTCCCTCTTCGTTTTCGACCATCTGCCTCGTCTCCGACCCTTTCCTACCCCTCTGTTCTTCCTTAAAACTTGTCCTCACTGTCTAATATATATACAATGTTAATCCCCAGTCCTTAATTTACCACAGTACAAGTTAATATAGTGATATAACACAACGACCAATTTAATGCTTTGAAACAAACAACGAAGAACAGAGTTGCAAGAATTTATTTCAGACAATATGCACATATACAGATGATCTAATAAACTTATTCCAAGCATGTAAGATTCAATTAAAATTCAAATACAATCCTAAAGATCATCAAAGGATGCACAGAACACAGGCAAAGGGAGAGAGACAGAATAGAACTTGCCTTTACAGTTTTGGATTCAAAACTCTGTTGCCTTCGTTCTAAGTTTTTCCAGCGATCCAACTCACTGTTAAATCTCCTATTGCTCCATCTTCCCTTCTCCTATGTCTGTCCTTCAAGCCACGGCCAAACCCTCACCAAAGTGACTCTATTTGTTTCTCACAACCTCTCTCTGTTCCTCTCTGTTTTCTCTCTCTCAACTATACGTGTATAGGGTTCTAAACCGTTTTGAGAGTATACCAGTATATATATATAAAAGCACCAAGGAACCCTAAATCCTAACCTCCGATGGAAAACCTAATTAACCCTACAATTTAAAACACTAATAATATAAACCTAATTAACTCATTCAATTAAAATAACAAATAGTTTAAACAATAAAAAAAAAACGAATATAATTCAATTAAAGAAAATAAAACTACAATTAAACAATTAATTAAAACAAACCATTTAAATAAAACAATTAATTAAAACAAACCATTTAA